TATTATACTTACCTACTTTTAGTTGCATAACATACAATGTACACTGTATACCAATATAGGGTGTTTTACATCATTATATACAGGGCTAATGTGTAGGATTATTGCAATGCTTATAATACATTTATTGTCTATTATGGCTTATACATACTTTAACAACATATTATTAAACTCATTAATAATTCATGAGGAAAACACAACAGAAATCATGACCGTGAAGAGTGTTGTAAATCAGATACCGAATCCTGTTCATTTGCATAAACTTTAAGATGGATTTTCTTGGCCAGATTCACTTTTATCTTGAAAATTTCAGTGAAAGACGTTTGATAAGTAATCTACAGTATTCGTGTCTGTGTTGTATCCAATATGCAAACTCTCGGCTACACCTCGAGTTTGTATATCAGATACAACACAGCCACTCATACTGTATATATTACTTGTACATAATATTATACACAATGTTAATGATTATGTATATCATCATCGTTTACTGGATAATTTGTCTGCCGAGTTTCACTCATTAGTTTACTCATTAATTTAATTAAAATACATATATCTTATTAAAAATTTTAGAGTAAAAAAGGGGTGGGTTTGTCAAGCCCAAAAAGGATGAAAAAAATGATCACTTGTATTCCACCCTAAAATGTCTAATATGTTATTGATTATCCAACTGAGCTTACTTTTTTACTGTATGAAGTTAAATTAGAGTACAAATATTGCAGGATATTTGTACTCACTCAAGGTTTTCTCCTGCATTATTTGTATTCTAATTTGAATAGCTGGATAATAACTATCATTACGCACTTGCGAAGACTCTAAGGTTGAAAGATTCAAAAAGCACTCTTCATGAACATAAAAAAGCCATGTTCTCCATATGGAAATTACRAGCAAAGCGATCTACATTGTCTTTTGTATGCCCTCGTGCCTCTACAACTGATTCTTGCTCACACAATCAATTTTATTACTGGATTTGCTTCAAAACTTAATAACAAACAAAGAACCAAACTAAGAAATTGAAAAGAAAACATTAGGATGTTGCTCATCTTACCAGTTAGATTGAACATTTAAGATGAGAGAACTTCATTTGCTTCGCTCCTCCGAATGTCAACAATAAGAAAAGCACAGGGAACCCAATTTCTGAAAAGTGCAACTAGTTTCCACAAGCTCTGCAAATGGTGGTTTGATTGTTACTAAATCTGTTTTACCCAAATAATCTGACATCAGTACGATAATCAGTACGATAATTGTGTATAAAGGATCTTCAATCTCAAATTGTTTTATTTTTCTTCTTCAGGAGTGGAAAGTTGGCGATCGTGTTCAGGCCAAGTGGGTTGATGGCAAGTTCTATCCTGCCAAGATAACAAAGAAAATTGATGATGGTAATGCATGAATTTGACTTAAGCTCAATTATCTTATATGCTAGTAATGTAATTGCTTTCTGATCTTTCCACTATCTGTCCATTAATTTGGATTGTTTTTATTTAAATGAATGTATCAAAAACACATCCCTTCCCTCCCCCCTCTTCCCCAATTATATTCAACAAATTTGATAACACCCCCCTGCCCCCTGGAATAGCTTTCCTGAAGTGATAGTGATAGTATTACAGTCATGGATATTACAACTATAATACTTATGTTTTGAAGGTGTATTGGAGGTGTTGTTTTATGATGGTGTCAAGAAAAATATTCCAAAAAACAACCTTAAGCCTGATAACAGGGTAAGTATAAATATATGTGTGCGTACAATACTGGTAATAATATAAGGATAATAATAATAATAATGGATTTTTAAAGCACAATTTTCAAATCACTATAATACAGTACTGTACTTGATGATGGGAAGAAGCAGTCAATATTAAACAAACGAAAAAAGTGCGTCTGTGTGCTGTGTGCTTTCATAAAGCACATGCCACCAACCAATCATTATGCAAGATTTATGACAGTTTCATTGGCTTTTTGCATTTTGTAATTTAACTATTCTTGAGGCCAGATGCTAATCTTTTCCCATTTTCATTAATTCTTTCTCCTTTTACATCTAACAGAAAGTTCAAGCCTTACCAGTTAGTAAAGAAACCTTGACACAGCAATCTGAACGAATGCAAAGGAAAACCAAATTAGCAAATGCCAGGGCTGAGAGGGCTAGGAAAAGAAGCAAAGAACAAACAGATAATACTCCTGCAGGAGTCACTCTAAAGAGAAAAGACAAACACAAGAAACAAAAGCTTGAGTAAGGACTGCTTTAAATATTTATAATTTAGATGTAGTAAATATAGAGATGATAACATGTTTTAAAGCATTTATTCTTGAGTTTCCATATCATAATAATATTGTGGCTGAGCAAGTCGTCAAGCGAATGAACAATATGATATGGAAAACCACTGAATAACATATCAAGCTACTGTATTTAACATATTATGATCTCTGTATTCACACTTGAGACATTTTAAATTGTTCCATCTGGGGGAAACAGAAGAGCTTTTTGCAACTAAAGGGCTAGCTCTTTCTTYGGAACCATCTTAATTCAGTCCCATAATTCAGTTCAGTGCCGTAGACCGGTGAAAGCTTTGAAGATATCATTATTTTTCAGTAGCTACTTGAAATCAATTATAACAAAAACTTTTTCTTGTAAACTGATTTATAAGCATCACTTGTGAATGAACTGTTCTTAAAATGCGTTTTCAAAGCACTGAGCCTGCAAGCAATAAAGAATCAAGCACACCAAGTCCTGTTCAAGCAAAGAAAATTGAAACACCATCCACTGATGACAATCATAAACTTATGTAAGTAGATATATATTGTAATTTTCAAACTTTTGACTATGTTATTATTTAATATATAGACTAATTAGCCAGGGTTGCATAGAACATGATGCATTGTGGTCTAGCTTGGGTACAAATGACTTCATATGAGGCATTAACAAAAGATGTCGTCGCACAATGAACCATGTTTGCTAATTCAGAAAAGGTTGATGRTTTTAGGAATTTAAGCTGAAGGTCTTGTGCAATACAGCACTTCTAGTGTAGTGTTTGTACTGTATGCCTTAGACAGGTTTTGTTATGTTTATTTGAAATATTTTTATTTTAGCAGTGAGCCATCTTCACCAGCATCAGAGGATGTAGAAGTCTTACTAGAATCCACAAAAGAAACAAAAGCAAAAAATGAAAAGACAGAAAATCAAATAGTAGARCCAAGAACACAGAAGGAAGAAACGCAAGATAAGAATACTAATGAAAGTGAGAAAAAATTAGGAACGTCAACTGATATGGAAATGCCACAAAATAAAAAATTAGAATCTCAAAAAAACGAAAATGAAAAAGAAAGTTTTTCTACTGAAAATCCAGAGGAAAGCTCAGAGGACAACACTTGTACAAGTGCTGTAACTAGTCTAGAGGCTCATGAAGAGAGCAGTAAAGAAAAAACTGAATTTAAAAAAGTAACAGATTTCCCAAAAGACTTAGAAAGACTTCCAACCAAGGATAAAGGCTTATTAAGAACTGATAACAAAGGTAATAGCACAGAGAGAGGCAAAGAAGGGTTAGAGTTGGCATCAACAAGAACAAGAGTTGATGATAGRGATTTTGTTTCAGATAAAGCACTGCCTGAAAATATTGAGAAGAAAACAGATGAAATTAATCAGGAAAAGGAAAAAGATGATAGAGTAGAACATGACATTGTTGTCAAGGAACCAGAAGTGACTGGTAAAACACAGGAGCAGCAGGATTCTGGAAGACGTGAAGTAAAAAGTATCGACGAACAGCCTGAAAAGAACAGTATTTCTAATGAGGTTCACACAGAACAGCCTAAAGAAATGATAGAAAATAAAACCACAGCAAAGAAATTGACCAAGGTGTCTCCTAAGACACAGAAGAAAGTGAAAGGGAATCAGAATGGGACTGGAGAGAAGAAGAGAGCAACGAGAAGCCGTAGTGCCATAAGCCCTCGAGGATATGGCTACTCCATGGCTGTAATGCATCCTGAGGTATCTAAACCTGACCCTTCTCCTTTGGAGACTAAACCAACGCRTACAGACCAGGCAACAGAATCCATTGATACTATTATTGACAGCTTGGGTGAGGACACTGCTGTTGTTGAACTAGAGCCAGATACTTCAGAAAGTTGTAAGCAGRATACTAGTAATGAAGCTGATGCATCTCAAAACCAAACTCAAGTCAAACGGAAAAAGAACTTTCAAGCCAAGAAGCTTAGACTTGATCAAATTACTGTTAAATTATCTGCGCAGCGGCAGAGTGAAGCAGAGGCTGCAGTGCAATCACCTTCAGCTTTCCAGAYGACACCTGTACAACAATCTTCCCCACCTCCTCTGATGGCAACTCCACCTCCAGCCACCCTGCCTACCCCTCCCCCACAGAAGGCACCCACTCCACCTGCCGCTCTTGCTGGTCATCACTACCCAATGGATACATATAGTGTACCTCCTCCGCCGCTGATATATGCACCAATGGCAGCACAGTGTTGCTCAAATCCTCACTGTCAACAGCATGGAAGCATCTACCCTCCACCTCCCAGAGCACAGCTTCATGGTGGCATATCACACCCTATGCACCTACCACCCTCTCATCTTCATCCACACTCGGCAGGGTATGTCATGTACCCCCCTGGAAATGTACCTACTTATGATACAAGGCCACCGATGCCATGTGAGTATAAGATAATAATATTTATCAGTATACCATCACATAACACCTGATGCTGGTCCATATCATGTAATATATGTATTCTTATATAATCAGGTTCATATGCCAGGTGTACTGGTGCAGTATACTATCACATACTAACTGACGCTGGTCCATATCATGTATATTGTAATATATGTATTCTTGTATAATCAGGTTCATGTGCCAGGTGTACTGGTGCAGTATACCATCACATACCACCTGACGCTAGTCCACATCATGAGAGTGCCCTGGCAAGGCTTATGCAAGTAGAGCAAAGAATCCTACACCCAGGGCCATCACCTCACATGGCTCATTATAGGGATGGTGCTTCACATCATGGTCCCTGGCTACCCCATGGACATCCTCATGCTGCTCAATATTGTCCCTTACCTCCAAAGCATGAAGAAATGTGGAGACATGGTAGGTTAATGCATTTGCAATCTCATATTACTATGAAAACTATAGTCCACAGGGTGCTACTGTATATGCTTCATTCAATCAGAAATTTACTGACTYGTATACTGTAAGTTTGATGGATTAAAGGCAAACAACAGTAACAAAGCAACAAGACATAGACAACAAGAATAACRACTACTACAGAATAAATATATGTAATGTAACAAGATAATATATCAACAACAATAGCAACCTTTCATTAATAGCACTGACAAACATACTGTAACAAGAAAATGTATCAACAACAATAGCAACCGGTTTGAAGTTGCCTAGGTTACTGAATGCTGCTTTAAGTAATTACTGTTTACTAAAGGTCTAAATGCTAATAGTTGAGTGGTTTGTCTTTTAGAACGCCCTCCAAAATCTCCTTCCCACATTTCTCCTGTACCAGAAAGTGAAGCAACTAAAATGATAAGAAGATGGAAGAATGAACGAACATTACATCCGGCCTCCTCCACTGCGGATGTTACACCAGGACAACCCGATAGATCACCTGATCACGGTAAACACGGGGACTTGATACATAGAGGATCTTCATCTACAACTCCAAAAGAACTAAAGAAACAGACAGAAAAGACCTTGAAGGAGAGTCCGAAGAGCAAAGAAATAGAAAAAGACAATTCTTCACCAATGACTGTTCAATCTAAATTTAGTGAGGGCCAGTTAGATCAACAGTTTAGCTCTGTTGCTGCTGCTAGTAATTTTCAGAGCTCAGATGCTAATACACCAATGTATAGTCAAGCAGCTTCATTTGGAGGAAAGGTACGTAAAACTGTCAATTTTGATTAGAAAAAGCAAAACGACCTCTTAGCTGATCTACAAGTCAGAACACACCAATAAAGCACTGTAACAAGTAACCACTAGTCATTCTTTTTCACTTGTTGTATTCAACACACCAACACAATCCCAACTACTAACCAGTAGTCATTCTTATTCACTTGTCGTATTCAACACACCAACGCAGTCCCTACTAGTAACCACTAGTCATTCTTATTCACTTGTTGTATTCAACACA